GAATACAACTTTAAAATTATTAATTGTAAGTAAAAGTAGTTTAGTACCTTGCTCAATTTCATCTGCAACTTCTTGTGTTTCCATTTTCTCTAGCAATGGTGTAGATCGAAACCAGTTTTGAGTGCAAATAAGTATCTCCACTGTTTTAGGACTTAAGGAGCTTCTATATGGATCCAATACACGGCCTCCTGTGCTAAAAGCAGACTCTGAAGCCACTGTAGACATTGGGACAGCAAATACATCCCTTGCTATCAAGGATAGGATTGGATATCTTGAGGAGTTAACTTTCCACCAATTCAAGATGTGGAATTTATCACTTTTCTTTTCTTTATCCTCTGCCAAGTACAAATCAACTTCATTTTTACCATCTTCTTCATTTTCCATGCTCATTTTCTCTTCATAAAGATCTGCAAACATTGAAAAATCATCATTGATAGCCTCATCATCCTTTCCCTGTGAACTTGGCCTATTGGAATTGCTATTATCTTCATCCATAAACCCACCGAGTGTGCAATACTCTTCAAACATCTTGTTTAGAGTACTTTTCACTTTGTAACTTAAGGTCTCTACAGTAATCCTATCATAGAGTTTCCCAAAAACAAATTCAACAAAACTCAGCTTATATCTTGGGTCTAGCACACATGCAATAAAAATTAAAACATTCATGTTAGATGCTGCTCCCCAATACTTCTCATGCTTTTCCCTCATTTTTTCAGCAATTGTAGAAAACAATGGATCATTACTTCCACTCCACTTGTTCAACAAGTTAAGAATTGTGGAGAAGTCATGAAAATACATGTGAGATGTGACATGAGTAGACCCTGAAATACGAACAGTGGCATCATAGAAAACTTTTAAAAATTTGATAATTTTTTCTGCATTTTCCCAATCTTCAAATTCAGGAGGACCTTTCTTTCTCTCACTCACATTCTCTCCAAAGGAAAATTCCATCAAATACAACCCATCAGTATCATGAAGCCTCTCAAAAGCCTTCTGAAACTTAAGGGCAGCTTCAAGCATCAAATAGGTGGAGTTCCACCTTGTTGAAACATCTAAACAAACTAATGATTTACATTGGATTTTTTCACGTTCAACACAACCTTTGAATCTTTGCATCCGAGAAGGTGAAGCTCGTACATACCTTATTGCATTTCTAATTTTCAAGATTGAATCATGCAAGTTCTTCAAACCTTCATTGACTATGAGGTTTAGGATGTGTGCACAACATCTCATATGCAAAAGCTCACCATTAAGCACACTTCCCCCCCAATCTCGAATCTTTTTCCTCAAATAAGCAACAGCAATGTCATTAGATGTAGCATTATCAACAGTAATTGCAAAAACCTTCTCAATCCCCCATTCAGACAACTTACTTTCTAAAGCCTTTCCTATAGTTTCACCTTTGTGGTCAATAATTTGACAAAAACCAATAATCCTTTTGTGGTAGGTCCAATCATTGTCTATGAAATGGACAGTCAAACACATATAATTTAGATTTTGAATAGAGGTCCAACAATCAGTGGTAAGGCTCACATGCTGTAAGTTTCTACTAAGCACATCTTTTAACTTTTTTCTTCTCTGTTATGTAAAGCTTAGAAACATCCCTTGTAGTAGTGATTCTAGATGGAACCTGAAATAAAGGCTGTGTAATACTCATGAAGTATCTAAAGCCATCCCCTTCTGCAAATCTAAAGGTTAACTCATCAACAACAATCATCCTGGCAAATGCTAGTCTACTTGCTTCTTTATCAAAAGCAACAGCGGTCAAGTTATAGCCCACTTTCTCTTCTGACTCCTTTGTCTTGGGTTGAAATGACAGAACCTTTTGTTTAGGATCCCTTTCTTTAGGAAATTTCCTACATTGGACCCTTAGATGATTACTCATAGTTGAAGTGCCATTTTTTGAGCTTCTAAATGAATAATTAGTTCCACAATAATTACAAATAGCTTTAGAAGCACCTTTAATTTCCTTCTTAGTAAAATGTTCCCATACCCAAGAAGGAGCTCTAGTTGGTTTCCTCTTTTCTAGCTGCAAGCCTTCTTCATCGGAATGAGCAGCATTAGTTGGTGTCTGTTCTGGAGCTACTGCACTTGCTGTTGTTGCTTCCTTTTGAGTAGCCTTGGGAGAGGTAGCAACCCCTTTTCTCTTCTTGGAAGGCTTAGGCATGGTCTCAACTTCTAAATTATCAAACTCAAAAAACTCCTTTGGGAAACACCCCTCAGATTCATCCATTTCTAAATATAATTACCTGTCATAAAAAAAAAAAAAAATGAAGTTCGAAGATCAGAATGTGGATCTAGAATTTGAGCATGGCCACACATTTATCTAGAATTTTGGAAACAAATAGGAGTTGTTCTCCATCTATAGACCTAGAGTTCTCAGGAATACATAAGGCTTCCTCATGAATTTTGTGCTAAAATTTCATGAGTACGTAGAACCTGTTAATGTTGCAAATAACGGAGGCAAGGCATCTCTATCTAAAATTAGTATAATGATTGTACCTATCTACTAAATTAAAGTAAAAACTAAAGAGTAATCAATATAAAAAATTATATTACCTAGATGGCACCAAGAAAGCCACCGAACGCAGCACTTGATCACAAATTAACCCAGCAAAATGAAGACGGCACGCCACTCAAGA